ACAGATACGGACATAAAAAGAAGGACAATTGAAAAATGGCAACAAAGGTGGATAAAGGTCAGTGGACGAAATGGCTTATACCAGACATATGGAAAACGATTTAAAAAGACCGAAACAGATGAACGCGCGTACTGTAACCAGCTAGATACAATATTTGTATGCAAGAAGTGGAGAGGGATCAGGAAACCAGTAAGGAATAAAGTAGGTGAGCAAATGAAAATTGAGAAGTAATAAGAAACATGCTTAAAGAAATACTTAAGACTAAAAAAGAAGCAGAGAGGATCAGAAACTGAGGATACTCGTGCCATTCCTGTTGGAGATGTCAATATTGACGGTATCCACTGCAATTTAGTAAATGTTATAATAACAATTTTACTTTTAACTTTTATAAAGTTACAGAATAAAAGTAAAACAAAATTATTAATAATTATTCAGTTCAAACAGTTTAGTTACAAACATTTCCTAATTATTATATTAGTTATCTCTAGTTTAGTTATAAATATTTTTTATCCATTCCATTAGTTATTTCTACTTTAGATGTAAATTTTTATAAACTATTTTGTAAGTATCTCTGCTTTACTTATAAATGTTTTTTAAAAACATTGTATTATATTCAAACAAATAATGATTGAGAGTGAACCTTGTTGTCATATCTCAATTTTACCTTACTAGTTTTTAGCAGAATCAAAATAGAGTAAGTAGTAGAGTTGTAAGTTGTGGCAAATTATAGATAATATACAATCATAGTACTAATAAAAGATATTAATTATAACAAAAATCAGTAATGAGTAATACTTATACATTTCTTGATCATTTAAAATTAATTATTTTATGGTATGTTCAGTATTTGTTACAACTAATGGCATCGGTGTACGAAGCGATATTTGTGTCTTTGTCTGTTACGCGTAAAATCCATCTCGTCGATGACGTTCTCAGTAGTGTATTTCTAACCACGAGCGTAACATCGGGTTTTGAATTATACGGTGTGAATTGTAAGTTTTACAGTTAAGTTAGTAAGTAATCGACGTGTTGTAAGAACAATTGGTGAAAATATTAGTGCTAATAAGTGTTTAAACATTAAATAATAATATTTCTACACCGTTCTAAACTATGCAAAAAATGGAAGACATTGAAGGGCCTTCAACGTCGAAAAATGTAAAACGGTCGAAGTCTCGGTCGCTAAGTGAAAAACAAATTGTACTTCGAGTATTTCACTGTCTTGAAAGAGATCATCAGCGACAACAAAAGATAACTTAGTGCATATGTGCTGTAATTCTACGGATGTACCTCCGAATAACCAACCGGGCGTTCCAACATCATTAACTTCCACAATTACAAAAGATAAATTAGTTGATATGTGCTCTGATTATACGGGTGTACCAAAATCATCAGTTTACAAAATACTAAGAGAAAACAAAATTCATGGGGAAGTACAAACGCCAAAAACTAGTAGCGGAAGAAAAAAAATCACAGTTGATGAAGAAGCCAAAAACAGTATACGCACAACTATTCACAGTTTCTTTTTCAGAAATGAGCTGCCCACTTTGCAAAAAGTTCTGGAGGCAGTTAGCGATCATGAAAAAAATTTACTACATGGATGAGACGTGGGTTAACCAAGGACATACGGTCAAAAAAGTATGGCAGGATGGTCATATAACAAGTGCACGACAAGCCTTTATTGAAGACTTGTCAACTGGGTTAAAACAGCCGTCTGGAAAAGGTAGTCGTCTGATAGTTACGCATATAGGAAGCGACAGTGGATTTTTACCAAATGGTGAATTAATATTTAAATCCAAGAAAACAGGCGACTATCATGAAGAGATGAATGCGGAGGTGTTTGAAAAATGGTTTGAAGGCATCATTCAAATTGTGGAACCTGGGTCTGTCGTCGTCATGGACAATGCCCCATATCATAGTCGGTATTTAGAATCATTACCGAAACAATCATGGAAAAAACGAGCAATTCAAGAATGGTTAATTAATAAAAACATCCAATATAAAAAAGATAGTTTAAAGGCAAAACTACTTCAGTTAACAAAATTACACAGAGACAAATATAAAAAATTCGCAGTGGATGAAATGGCGTTAAGTCGTGGAATTACAGTATTAAGGTTACCACCGTACCACTGCGAATTAAACCCAATAGAATTAATCTGGGCGCAAGTAAAAGGATATGTGGCACGAGAAAACAGAACATTTAAATTAGTGGACGTGCAACGTTACCTACAAGAAGCCATTCAAAATGTTTCTGCAGAAGACTGGAAGAAATGCATTCAGCATGTTTTAAAAGAAGAGCAAAAAATGTGGGACGTAGACAACCGTATTGAACATAATATTGAACCAATCATAATTAACTTTGATGATAGCGGTAGCAGCAGTGACGAATCTGAGGTTGAAGATTAGAAGAAAATTTGTACACAAAAAGAAGTCTATATATTTAGGTATAATTTTTATTTTTACCATTCACTATTACCATTTAGAAATTATTATATAAATTTGTATTTTTAATTCCTGTACACAGACATGAACAATGTCTCAGCAGGATACAAATGTTTATTTATTTAATTATTATTATTGTATCAATTTGTACATTGTTACATAAATTTGAACTAAACATTATTATTATTATTATTATTATTATTATTATTATTATTATTATTATTATTATTATTATTATTATTATTATTATTATTATTATTATTATTATTATTATGTTTGGCGGTCAAGAAAACATAATCCTGTAGGTTATATCCAAACTAATTATCTTACTTAGGGATTTCCGAAATGATAGGTGCGTGTAAACTTTTATGATTTAAGTACCAATAAAATAGTAATTTAAGCTTTATAATGTCTTTTAATGTTGGCCGAACCCAATTAGGGTTTCTTGGGTAAAGCTGGCTAGTTTCGAGGAACTGCAGGTAAACCGGGAGAGATATATATATATATATATATATATATATATATATATATATATATATATATATATATATATATATATATAGAGGTATGCTTTATTGTCATTGAAAAATTACAAAAATTTTATAGACAAAGCGAAGTAAATTAAAAACTAAATATAATATAAAAAGATTAAAATATATAAAAATTTAAAAATAACTAAACAAAACAAAATAAAAATATCAATTGCATTGGATATGCAATATCCGTCATTATGATTTTAATTTAAAATTTAAGTAATACTTCTGTATGTGTAACCCAAGAAGAAACTTAAGAGACAGTTCCTTACTGACTTCGGCCGCGACATAATATATAAATTTACGTTAATTTGTGAAATAAAGTTAAATTGATTATTAAAATAGTAAAATTGATAATATTGTTTCTGTCACCAAACCAACCCCTGATTAGGTATCTTTCTTATTTTTAATTTGAAATATATATTGTGATTTTTATTAATATTCTTAATTTATTTGGTTCCTACTATAATTACCACAATTATTACTCCGCTTTCATAAAGTCCCACTAATGACTACAACGATTAGGTAAATTACGATATTGCAAAGTTTTCATGAAATAAATAAAAGAAATTGTATGAATATTTTAAATATTTGTACCCTCTCAAAAATAATAAGCACGCCTCCGATTTGGTTGTATTTCTACCTGCTTTCACTCTCAATCATTATTTGTTTGAGTTTAGTTCTTGTCATTTCTACTGTTACAAAATGAAAAATATTTTGGAGATTTTTTTACTTTTCAACACATGTGTTGATATTCTTTTCAACACATGTGTGATATACTTTTCAGTACATGTGTGATATGGTTTAATTGACTTTCTCATTTAAGGATTTTGTGTGTGGTCGTAGGAAAAATAGTGTACACAACTCGTTGGAAAGTATATTTCTGTTACACTTTCCACACTTGTTATGTAATGTTTACTATTCAACCTAGGATTCCCTATGTATATAGTTAGTAAAAATATTGGTAAAATAATAAAAAAAAAAAAGGATTTTAATTCTATATAAAATTTCTTTATCTTCTTCTTAATACGAGTCGAATCCACTTAAGTCATCTACCTGGGGGAGGCGTAACTCCTCCACGTAGGTAATTAATGGCTTGTTAACACCGTTTTGATGTATGGTTATTTAATGGCGACTGATGAGTATGTTTGAATAAAATTACTTAGTAAATTTTTTCTACACCTGTAATTATACACTTACAGAACAATTTTCTTCTTGTATACGGTAGGTTGAGTGTTTATTTAAGCACAAGGCGATGAGGAAGTAAAAAAAATTAAACAGAGAATCAATTTTGCGAAAGCGCGATGTGGAATATACGATGTGAATCAGAATTTTTGTTTTGTATAGGATTTAACTGATGATAATAATGATAATAAGCAAATAGAAAAAGGTATGAAATCATTGGCAGAATTTGGTGATTAAAAATAATTAAATTATTTGATTAATCAGAATTTTTTTATTAGTTTATAAAAACAAGGCAGAAGATGAAAGATTTTTGTCAGAGGGGATACAGAAATTTGGTGAATGGGTCTTTCCACTTACACGATCCGATATAAAAAATCTCATCAGGTCAGGAACTATTTGAATTGCAAAAGAATCAGGATACCAAAATTCCAGAATAATATGCCAGGTAGGGTTTTACAAATCAAACTTTATGACAAGAGAAAAGGAGTCAAACAAACGCCTTAAATTTTTGTTAACCCATTTTTCATAAATAATGGATGGTTTTCTGTTGGTATAAGGCAGAGGTTTCCAAACTCTTTTATTTCATAGACCACTTACAAAATTTTGCTGGATCCGGTGGACCTCCTGTAACTACATCACTACCAATTTCTAAATTTTGAAGAAAAAAAAAGTAAAGATTAGATCTATCTATGGAAACTTGCGTTTTAACGACGAATTAACAGTTTTCGAAGAAAAGGTTAGAATTGCTTGATAGGGTTTATTATTTGATAATAAAGTCGACTAAAAGAAAAAGTGACATATCAGGAAGAAAGAATAAGCAATCTAGAGAGGGAAATAAGGAAAATGAATATTATCATAAAAGGAATAGAAGATGAAGAACAGGAAAATGAGAAGGAAACAAAGGATAAAATATGCATAATTTTACAAGAGATGGGAGTAAAAATCGCAGTAAAAGAAGATATAGATGAAGTACGAAGGATGGGCAAGTACAACATTGAAAGGAAAAGACCAATAATTGTGAAACTAAACAGGAAAAGCACAAGAACAATGATTTTGCAAAAAACCAGAAGCCTGAAGGGCACAAATATATGGATTGATGAAGACTACCCAAAAGAAGTCCAAGAGGAAAGGAGGAAGCTAATAATAAAAATGAAGGAAGCTAGAAATAAAGGTCACAAAGCACAATTAAGATATAATAAACTAATAATAAACGACGAGTTGTACAGGGAGAAAGACACCGATCAAAACCAGGTATTGTTAGCAGACTTTTTATTTTTAGAGTTTTTTTAAATTCTTTTAATATTTTACTATTCTTTGACGGCTTGCGATGAATTGACAGTACCACTGTTATATATAGATATGTCAAGACTTATTCTGTTTAAAATATGAACTTGATAGTATGTCTAGTTATGGAGGTATTGTAGATAATTTTTTAGCAGACTATTTATGTTTACAGTTTTTTTATATTCTTTTAATTTTTTCTTACTCTTTGACATCTTGCGATAAATTGACAGTACCATTATTATATATAGATATGTCAAGGCTTATTGTGTTTAAAATATGAACTTGATAGTATGTCTAGTTATGGAGGTATTGTAGATAATTTGTTAGCAGACTATTTATGTTTAGAGTTTTTTTATATTCTTTTAATTTTTTCTTACTCTTTGACGGCTTGCGATAAATTGACAGTACCATTATTATATATAGATATGTCAAGACTTATTGTGTTTAAAATATAAACTTGATAGTATGTCTAGTTATGGAGGTATTGTAGATAATTTGTTAGCAGACTATTTATGTTTAGAGTTTTTTTATATTCTTTTAATTTTTTCTTACTCTTTGACGGCTTGCGATGAATTGACAGTACCACTATTATATATAAGTATGTCAAGACTTATTCTGTTTAAAATATGAACTTGATAGTATGTCTAGTTATGGAGGTATTGTAGATAATTTGTTAGCAGACTATTTATTTTTAGAGTTTTTTTATATTCTTTTAAATTTTTCTTACTCTTTGACGGCTTGCGATAAATTGACAGTACCATTATTATATATAGATATGTCAAGACTTATTGTGTTTAAAATATGAACTTGATAGTATGTCTAGTTATGGAGGTATTGTTAGCAGACTTTTTATTTTTAGAGTTTTTTATATTCTTTTAATTTTTCCCACTCTTTGACGGCTTGCGATGAATTGACAGTACCACTATTATATATAAGTATGTCAAGACTTATTCTGTTTAAAATATGAACTTGATAGTATGTCTAGTTATGGAGGTATTGTAGATAATTTGTTAGCAGACTATTTATTTTTAGAGTTTTTTTATATTCTATTAATTTTTTCCCACCCTTTGACGGCTTGCGATAAATTTACAGTACCACTATTATATATAGGTATGTCAGGGATTATTCTGTTTAAAATATTGTCTAATTATGGAGCTATTGTAGATAATTTGTTAGCAGACTATTTATTTTTAGAGTTTTTTATTTGATTTAATTTTTTCT